ACTGGCGCCACGCTGCTCAGATGATACCACGGAACCAGAGACCCTTGTTCTCAGCGATATGAATAAACCTGCCCATCATTGTTTGATCCAGTCAATCGATATTGCCTTCGAATTTTGCGCAGAGGACTGTCTTCACGAGCACTTTTATTTTATCGAAAGAATGTCAAATGTTCGACCGAACAGTGTTCACCTGTAAGGGATGTGGAAATGCAGTTGTTTAAAGTCTGCACAAAACGGGTCGTGAAAACGGGCACATTGCGTAGCAGATCATTCACTCTTACTGGCGTGGAGTCCATACCAGCCAACTAAAAAATATATCGCCTTCCGCAACAAAATATTGCAGCTAAATCAGCCTACTGATGTGTTGACGAGTAGCTCAAAACATTCGCGGAAACAGGCCTCAGGGCAACTGTAGTAAACCCAAACCATGAACACCGCTTGTTCGAACTGGTTTGCCGTCTAAAGACCGAACAGCCCGTAGGTTTCTTATGTTGTGAAATGCGTGAAAGTGTGCGAAAGCGCACGTGGCCTCGGCTCAAGTACTCCCTGCTCAACCGAATCAGGCGGTAAACTTTCACTTGTTTGGTAGCTCATGAGGTTTGCTTTTTGTGGTAAATAGGCCCTCCCAACAAGCACGTATCGCTGTCTGGGGATGATCTTGAAGAACCCAAAAAATGTGTGCCACGGATAAGCGAAAATCTCCCGGAACACGACAAGACCATTCCAAATGGGAATGGTTTTTTATGGCAGGAGGTACCACGTTTCGTATAAAAGTATGTGGGGGTAGGGCTTGCAGAGTAAAGCGTAAAACGTTCGACTGGAATCTGGGTAGTTAAATGAACCGTGCCAGTCAAGTTGAAGAAAGAAAGAAGCATTATAAGCTGTTTTGCCAGCTTCAATGGTATGACGTTGCACAGTAAAGATCAACTCATTTTAGTGGACAAACATCGTTTAGCCTTCACTGCGACGATTGGCTGAATTGTTAGGTTTAGAGTAACATTGTCCTTTTTCTAAATGGAATAGAGAATATGTTCATCACCTGGTTCTTGTAGCACTTACAACCGGGTGTACGTGACCGTCGGGTAGGTGATCATAGCCTTCGCTACCCGCCCGCTTCTAGTATTGCATTTGTTCAAACTGAGGCTGGTAGCTTCTTAAGCCAACTTTAGTAACGGTATTTTTCTCAGCTTAGTTCTCGGTTGAGCCTCCCCAAGCTAGCGTTCACGTCAAAACAACCACCAAAGGTGCACAAGATATATTAGCGCCAATATATAGCGTGGGCGGCAATAACTTTCTGGAACCTCTGACGCGTTCTGGATACGCCATTGGCAACCGGCATTCGGCCAATACTGGGTCATGATTGGCTGTTGGGTCCGAACTATCGACCAATCAGATCTCGGCTTGATGCCGAACCGCCAAGCTTCCCGATCTTTTGGCCGAACTTGCGTGGGATGGGCTCCTCGGCCGTAGCAGCACCTGAGTGCGAGCGGTAAAGCGGGATTCGTGTGGAGTTCCGCCCAACACCAGCTGTTGACCGTAAGTGTGGACTGGGTGCAATCTTTTGGATTCGCTCTAATTGACGAAACTTGCGTTCGCCGTCTCTGTCCGTAATTTCTTTTTCCAGGGTGTGTTGGCCCATATCCTTCGTTTTCTCCGTCTCTAAACGCTGCTTCAGTTGGCGAAAAGTGTGACGGGTTTTTTGGCAGACCAAATTTTATGTCCAAAGTATCCAAATATTTTATCTTCATGTGAACGTGTAATATCGGTGTTACAGAGGATGTGGGAACCTTCATTTGACAGTATAAGTCGTGAAAAATGATCACGTACTTTAGGGGGAATTGGCTAGTTGGTAGTGATAAATTATTTTGAAAAGACAAAGTGAGAATTGCCGGAGTCCCATTGAATGTGCGCTTCCCTTCAGCAATAAGTGGAACGAGTAGTCCCTGATGATATGTTGGAGGCGAGATGAACTAAGTGATTGGAACGTGAATTAACTGGCCGGAAGGTCCGTGATTCGAATCCGAACTCTGTCTCTCGACTTCCCTTGTCTAGGTTTGGGCAACCTGGCAGTATCCCGTCTCTCATGGCATGGCAGCTAGCCAGCGAAAGGGTTCTACAGCTGAACGATGACATCGTTGGTCGGGAGAAGTAGTGTTTCTTCACAGTTTGATCACTAGTCATCCATGTTCCCCAATGATCAGTTTTCTCTCTCTCTCTCTCCTCTCTCTCTATCCCGTCTCTCATGGCATGGCAGCTAGCCAGCGAAAGGGTTCTACAGCTGAACGATGACATCGTTGGTCGGGAGAAGTAGTGTTTCTTCACAGTTTGATCACTAGTCATCCATGTTCCCCAATGATCAGTTTTCTCTCTCTCTCTCTCCTAGCAGCTTTCCACTCCCATCTCTACAAATGGCGAATTCCTGACGCCTCTTTCTCCACCAAACACCCAGAAACATGGTTCGCAGTCTATCTGGCCAACATCCTCATCGCCTTCAGTCCAAGCCACTCAGTCGATCGAAACAGCACAACCATTTGGGCCCCATGCCACATGGTCCGGCTGCATCTCGGGAACGTCAACGGTCAACCGTCCTATCCCATCCATCATTAGCCCAACTACGACCGAACATGATGGGTGGTTCCAAGCGCATCCAGCTCCGAGTTTGTCTCCCAACGTCCCGGTGGCGATTTCTCCTGTGGGTATGAAATCTCATGGGCGGTCGAAGGGCCCTGGTGGAGAAAGGACAAACACTGGGTATGGGGTTCTTCATGCTTTTTTTCGGTCCATCGTTCCTTGCCTCTTGCTTTAGTTCCACGCTACCCGACTTTTGAGTTATCTTGGTGGTTATGGTGCGAACTTCAGGCTGTCTTGAGTACCATTCCTCGGTTTACCGGTTTACATCTATTCGGGTTCCGTGCACAGAAAGGCTGTGAAGCACTAGGCTGGGTTGGGTTGAATGTGAACTAGTGCATTTCGTACCAAGTTCCGACCGAACTGGTTCATACGGAAAGTGATTGCTTAATTGACCGCTTATTTGGGTTTCAGTCGGTTCTTGACAAACATAGTCTTAGGCATTGTGAACTATTGTTCATGTATGCTACAGGCAAAGGGTTGACCTTGACATGGGGATCACGTAACGGAGCACATGATTAGTAACTCAGCTACTGAGTGTTTTGCGCCGTGACGGGCAACACTCGTGTTCGTCCGTGTCACCAAATGTGTTGGATGTAGATAAGCAAATACAGGGCGGTAAGCCGTTGAGGGACACGTTCACTTGAAGGTATAACCGTTTTCCTTGAGCCCATCTACGATCCACTGAAAGCTAACTGGAATGACTGCAGCGTTTGAGACAAAATTGTGAACCTGGGGGCCTTGATGTGATGGGCTTTTTGCTATAGCTCGCCGCGAGCTCCATAATGAGTTCAAAGAAGTTGTCTTCAACCACTCTTGGCTTGAATCAACTTTATTTTCGGATTTTTGTTAAGAAAGTCATCGTCCAGTCTTCACCAATCGATATTTTTATGTGTTTTAACAGCCGGACTTCGAGAGTCAACTTCCGACGGGCATCTGTAGCTAGTTGTCCCTCATCAACTTCGGTCGACCTAACTCAGGAGCCGTCTATGATGTTATCGGGACCGATCGAGACACGACTCGTTCCTGGCTTGGCCCAGTCCAGTCTCCGTCCACACTCATCTGAAGCCAGTCAGCAGCCTGGTTCAACTTTCCTCATCGCCTCTCCTCTCTACTCGCCCAATCCTTCTTACCCAGCCACTATGAGTACAGTTGGCGCAGATCGATATGTTCCACCCACCAGCCCTCAGTTAGCCAACAGCAGCAGCAGTACAAACATTACTAACCCAGCACAGGTTCGTTGGACCGATGGCACAGTGCCACGTGACATTAGTTTGACGCCACAACAACAGCCACGGATCAGCTCACTTCCAACGACGCCGACTAAATACGTGGTCGGTTACGTTCCCACCACCCTCAGTGTAATTACCGTCAGTCCCACGTCAGGTCACACACCGCCAGCGCAACCCTCTCCACACTACCTAAACAACACCACAACTTCTACACATGCACCATCAACCGCTAGTTCTGATCAGGTCACCAATGCATTTTTCCTCTATCCCTCACCTGAACAATCGTCCAAGGAATCCGCCCCCAGGCCCACAGGAACTAATTTCATTTACCCGTCACAGGAGCCATCGCAACCCATTGTCCTACAACCACCGATTCAGCCTCAGTTTCCCCAATCGACATACAGTGCGGCGACTCCAGTTCTATCCCGTTCGACTGTACACGCACGACCCTTACCGTCCTCGGTCGTTGGCGAACTACAGCATCCCGGTGTCGATCCCATCATGTCCCATAGAACTCACAAATTGAGCCGCGCCGCAGAACAAACGTCTTTCTCCGAAAGTTACGTGATTGTGGAACCGCAAGTCAATGCCGGCAACTGTGTTCCAATGGACACGAAGCTGGAAGATAGTCTCCTTCCGGAGGACATCATCAACGACGTATTTGATCGTAAGTTCCATATATAGCCGTTTGTTTGGAGGTATTTTTGCGTCTTTTCTTGACTCCAAACATACTACTAATTGGGTTGCTGAAATTTTTTCGTCCTTATTGTGACTTACCAACACTATTCTACTCGAACCTCAATTATACACAATTCGCGAAATACCCTCCTGCCTAGCGACTCCCGGTCGTGGGCTGTCGAAGTTTTTTCAGCAACCCTATGGGGAAGTGTGCTTCGCCAAGAAAATAGCACTGTGACATCTCAAATATCGTACTAATTGAAACATGGCGCGACCTTCGTGCAGAATACTCAGGCGACCGGAAGGTCCGTGGTTCGAACCCAACCTCTGCCTCTCGACTTTCCTTGTTTAGGCTTGGGCAATCTGGCAGTATCCCAGCCCTCGTGCTCCTTTTGGGTAGCAGCTAGACACTGAAAGGGTGATACAGCTGAACGATTTTTTAATGCGTTATTCCTGCCATGTATGACTGTACACGCACGACCCTTACCGTCCTCGGTCGTTGGCGAACTACAGCATCCCGGTGTCGATCCCATCATGTCCCATAGAACTCACAAATTGAGCCGCGCCGCAGAACAAACGTCTTTCTCCGAAAGTTACGTGATTGTGGAACCGCAAGTCAATGCCGGCAACTGTGTTCCAATGGACACGAAGCTGGAAGATAGTCTCCTTCCGGAGGACATCATCAACGACGTATTTGATCGTAAGTTCCATATATAGCCGTTTGTTTGGAGGTATTTTTGCGTCTTTTCTTGACTCCAAACATACTACTAATTGGGTTGCTGAAATTTTTTCGTCCTTATTGTGACTTACCAACACTATTCTACTCGAACCTCAATTATACACAATTCGCGAAATACCCTCCTGCCTAGCGACTCCCGGTCGTGGGCTGTCGAAGTTTTTTCAGCAACCCTATGGGGAAGTGTGCTTCGCCAAGAAAATAGCACTGTGACATCTCAAATATCGTACTAATTGAAACATGGCGCGACCTTCGTGCAGAATACTCAGGCGACCGGAAGGTCCGTGGTTCGAACCCAACCTCTGCCTCTCGACTTTCCTTGTTTAGGCTTGGGCAATCTGGCAGTATCCCAGCCCTCGTGCTCCTTTTGGGTAGCAGCTAGACACTGAAAGGGTGATACAGCTGAACGATTTTTTAATGCGTTATTCCTACCATGTATAGAATGAAGTACTTTAGTATATATATATACCCTTATATTGCTTACAAGTCATGTAAACCCTACACAAGGAATCAGGTGTTTAGTTAACCCCATTTGGTTCAGAAGTCACAGGCCATGCACACAGCCATGCCACTTTAGAACTACCCCTTCTTGTTCGTTTTCACTCTTGTTTGGTCGCTTTTGTACCAACTAGATGACGTTCAGATGATTCATACTCGACTCAGCACAAATTGTGCGGAAGCTCATTGACATGTTTCGATGTGGTAGACTGCGGTACACGTTATCGTGTACTCACTTGATCCGGTCTTGTTTGTCAGTGACCGGTAAATGAGGCGTTTTCCCTCTATTCACTGACTCTACACTGAATCCAAAAAAAAACACTGACTGGCAGCGTTTATACTGTCTCTATCAGAAACAAGGTTCAGCCTGCTTTTGAAATTCTTTCAGGCCTTCACTTTTCAACCACCGAGCACGTCACATTAATTCTCATCGTTTTAGATGCCTGTTTCAGCGCACCGTTATCTCAGTTTTGCATACAAAACGCTTAGGTTGACGGTCGCCTCCCTGTTCCACATTACTCCATGTACTGCTGTCCGTTCAGCTGCATGGTGGATTGATGATGTTTCAAAAGCTCTGGTTGAGTGTTGGTCTGTTCGCCGACCTTGGCAGTTGGATTGCAAGCGTTTCATCACCAGTCGTGGTGATATCGTTAGTGCGGGGTTAGGTGGTATATTCATTCTATTCTGCCTTTGCTTATATAGTTTCTAAACAGTATCCAGAGGGGGTCTTCGCGTTGTTTGATTGGTCACCTTGGAACGCATGGTTGCGTTGAGATCTCATTTCCCTCTATCTGGTTCGTTCTTTGGGCGCCTTCAGTTCGACAGTTTCGTTTCTCCATTGTGATTGGACAGTTTCTTTCTTGCTCTGCGGTCTGATTTTGTTCCCCTTGATTGGCTGATCCGATTGCTTCCAATTTTTAGTGTTCTTCTTTGATCCCATTGTTCCGTTGGTTGCCGTCAGCCTGTTTAATTTCCCATTTGGTTCAGAGTCCCTTGGCTGTATAGTTGTCTTGTTCATAGCGGCTGATAGACTAGGTCGGTATCTGTGTGTCTATTGATCGATTTTCCTGTAACTTTCTGGTGGATTCATCTGCAGTCTGTATTCTTTTCTTGACTAGACTGATCCATTACAGTTCGCGCATATTCTTTTGGTCAACACCAACACGTATGTATGAAGCGTTTGCTTTCACCTGTTAAGTTTGTCACTTCGTGTAGTCGACGAGCTGGCCACCTTCACTTGCCCAATCGGATCGATTCTTTGATCCAATTCTGGGCTCAGAACCTGGAAGGAATTGAAGCTGGGCTTCTCTCTAGGTACCTTGTTTGTCCGCCAAGACACCAATTACAAACATACTGACTGAATGGCACAAGTAGTTAAACTTCCACTACCTCTCCGCTTTTTTATTTCAGTGGAAACTATGGTTGTTGCAAAACAGCAACAACAGCAACAGTTATCCGCCAAGGACTGTGGTCTCCGTAACAACTGCTCCTATTCCACCTACTCTCCGAACCTTCTCGAACTGGATGCACCCCGGGACTTGAACACGTACCCTTCCACCGCGTCCTCGTCGCCCAGTCCATGTTCGCCTAGGCTGAGCAACACAATTCCGCCAGATTCGCGGTCATATCTGAGCCCTTGATTTTTACTCTCAGACACCTATTTCTTCAACCCATGCATCTGTCATCCATTGGTCTTTCACGAACGGACTGCGTCGGCATTATCTTACCAAGAAGACCTTAACAGACCTTACGCATTTGTGTTCGGTCGTGTTCCTATTGAACTCTTCTCTTCGACTATTCGTAGCGAGAATTTGCATGCTTTCACTTTCGATGTGTGACCTTGCCACCCAAAGGACACACTGTGGCTGTCATCATTTGTCAGACTACAAGGTCTTACAATAACACACATGGTTTTGACTAGGTCCCCTTGCTGACTGAGTCCTCCCGCCTCCAGTTGTCCCGATATTTTCCGGACCAACTGCCTACCACTCCACACGCTGCCCCCACTTTTACTTCACTCAGGCGAATCACTTACTCTCCGGGACCTCTCTCAAGCATCTTGCGTTATCGGTCGAGTGCTTCAGACTGGAACGTCTGTGTTTGTGTTAGTGTGTCTTCAATTACTTTTGTGCCCCTCAGCTCCACTCCCCCCCCCACCTCCACGTTCACTGACACACCCTAGCACAGCCAGCCCACTACCAGGATATGTTTTCAGGTATTATCTCTCTCTCTCACACACACACACACACCACACGCCCTTTCGTTGTTGAAGTTTTATTTGATTTTGTCGTTTTGCTGACTTTTTTGAGGTTTGAAAAGCCAGGACAATCCTTCGGTCATAGCGCTCAATTCCGGTTCTCTGGGTGTGTCGTCACTGTTCTACAGGCGTCGCTAGTGTGCAGGACAGTGGACTAGTGGATAAACGTGTGGCAGTCTGATTAGATTCCTCTGCGGTTTTTTCAAAACACATTTGCTTTGACAACTTTATTCCCGCACACACACACACGCGCCCTTCCGTTACCTCCTTCTGACACAAGCTATTTTTTCACGTGTTTTCGCGCAATATGCCACAGGTCTGTGTGTGTGTGACCTGTTTTTGAGCTTCGATGTGCATGCCTCGGAACCCTTCTTTCCGCCCCCCCCCCTTCCGGCGCCACAAATACGGTCAGGGCTAGCGTTTTTACATTTTTATCGCTAGAGATTTATCCGATATCTGTGTGTACACACACCTTTTTCTACGGCTAAGGCTGCGCCGCGCAGGGGCAGCGTTATTAAAGGCATTTTTCGCGCTGGCCTCCTCATTTCCAATCCATCCGCCGTTCACATTTCTTTCCCATCCTGTTTCTCACACTGGACGCCATCGTTTTTGACTACGGCCTCTTTCACCACTGCATCCTTGTTTGTACATTTCGGTGTGTGCGTGTTGGGGGAAGTTGTATTGTTCGTCCGGCGGTTCGCATCCTTCAGTTTTCCGTATCCAATGAACTTAGTTCACAATAAGAGTCACACGCACAATTTTTAATCCTCGTACACACGCTCGCTGATAACGAAGATCACACCATTTACCATTTTGCATAGTGTCACAATTTGTGTGTGTGTGTAGTGGTTATTCTTCCGGCTTTCTTGCCATCTGATTTTATCTGCCCCTCGTTTCCCAGCGCCCCGTCATCATTCAGTCTCACTTTCAAGACGTCCATATCTCTAGATCTCTTTGTTTGTTTCTCTGTGGCGCCGTTCACCTCGTTCCCCGGAATTGTTTTCGCTTTCTTGTACTCGTCTCTCATTTTTCTATCCGGTTCGATCATCCGGCCCACCCTATTCTCCTCGATCACTCAGTGAATATCCCATTCTATTTTCGACGCTCCTTGTTTTTTTTGCTATTTACATGTAGATATACATCATGTCTTCAAAGAACCGTACCATCTTACGTGATTTTTTGCCGTCTTTTGTTCATTGGACAATGGTTTGGCCCCGGGTCGCGAACCTAGACTGTACGAGCACCTGGAACGAAGTTGTATAGCGACAAAAGTGACACAGTACAGTATCACATGAGGTCAGTAGGGAATCAGTCTTGGGATGGAGTCAACGACCTTTTCTTACCGGATTAATAAGCTCCACTGAACAACTGGAGAGTTTTGTGGTTCCGATTACTTGTGCAAGGGGGCAAGACCACGCAAATAATATGTTTTCGTGTACTTCGTGAACTGGATCTTCGTAAGACTTTCGGAGGTATCGTTGAAATGGTGCTTGATCGGGTCGTTATTTGCTGGACTTGTATCATAAACTAGTCGTGTTTCTGGTGATGGGACGTGTGCTGAGGTTCACGATACGGAGCTTTGAGTCACGCGCAGGTTTGATAACCCCGAAAGAACGGGATTAGGAAGCCTACGACAATCTTTCCCCATAGGTGAGCGAAATTTCGACCAACCTCAACTGTCCACGTGTTGTGACTTGGTGAACCGTAGTGCAACTCTGTATCGGTCCCTTGGCTTCCTGCTCCGCCAACTATGTTACATCCCTATTATCATGAACACATATCTCCGGCCGACAATGGAATACGCGATCCAAGCCTGGTCTCCATGGCTGCAAAAGGATACACAACTGCTAGAGCGTATCTACCACCGCGCGACCAAGCTGGTCATTGGCCTCCGAAACGTTCCCTACAGTGAAAGGCTACGTAAACTCGATTTGTTTGATTTAACTTATCGGCGTATACGAGGAGACCTCATCCCGATGTTCAAGATAATAAACACCCCTAATCACCCTTTAAAACATTTGTCCACAGTTAATTTGGCCCGACAGACCCGACGGAATCCATTGGCCGTTTGACATTCCATGTTCCCGCATTAACTGTCGGCGCTACTTTTTTTCAGTCCGCGTATCCCTCACGTGGAACAAACTACCAACATCTGTTGTGGATTGTGGTAACCTCGAGACTTTCAAACATTCGCTTGACGAATACATAAGACCTCACCCAACTTCCCTCATCAGCATTTGAGATGCAGATTACAAACAATAGAACATATATGTCATATCATTCCGTTTATCTGTATACATACACACACACCAATATCCTTTGGTCATTGTAAAGCAAAATGCTTTTTAGACCAATATAACCTTGATTTACCTTGATTTACCTTGATCAAAAGGCACGGTGGCTCCACATAGCCCTTTATGGAGACGACGGAAAATCATTACAACTGTATTCACAGGGTGGTCGCAGAGTGTTCCACAAGGTCGTGCTAGAATCACTGTGAGGGGACGAAAAAGCGTCGAGTGAAAGGTGCTCGATCTGGATTGGCTGGCATTCTGACCAACCAGTGCATGCCTTCCTTTGGTCCATGTCCTGCACGTGACACATCCATCGGAACGATGTGATGTTCGGTTATTAGGAAAGGCTGGCCTCCGTACCCCACGTTCGTCGCGTCAACAGGTGCGCAAGTCTGTCACTGACCGACATAGCACAGGGTCTGCACAAGAAACAAATATTGCCCCGGCGGTGGTCGTCCCTTCCGAGGACCGCCTCGTGGTTGACTGGCGGTGCCCGCACGTGTTCGTGGAGCACGAACACCGGTGTGTGAGTGGGTCAGTGATATACACACACATGCAAGCTATTATACCAGCTTCGGACGCGGCTGCCTGTGTGGCAAGATGAATGGCGCGTACGGAGGAGACCAAAAGTGCACTGGGGGAACAAGCAAACGAATCATGGTGTCGTGTACATTTCCAGGCACTTGACGATGACCGAAAAAGAAGGCTTCCCTGCTTCAGCGAACGCAGGCGTCATTTACAGCTTTGGATTTTTTCTAAGGGTGTCTCATCTCTGTCGTTTTCATAATTTGCAACTGCAGTTCGAAATTCCTTGCCTGACGATCTGTCATCTAAACGTTTACTGGTTAGGGGAACTGTGCCAAAATTAAACTTCCAGACTAAGTAAAATGGGTTTGTATGGTTCGTATGGATCCATCACTTTTACCCACAGTTTTCGGATGAATGTTTGCGCCGAAGCCGGAGAGGAATTCAACTTTGATTATTAAAGAGCGTACCTGTATTCAAGGCGTTCACGTTTGATGACGCAGACGGATTCTTTGAGGGACAGTGTGTACCTGTTTCATGCAGTACAATAGCAAAATAATGCAAGTTTACAACCGTAGCAAGCTGTCACATTCGTCTCCAAAATCCGATGCAAACAGTTTGACCAGAGTCCGCCAGAATATAGGTTATTGGCAGCGGCCTTCTTATAAGATTAGCATTTGTGCGGAGACCAGCAGCCCCTAGTAACCCAACATCACATCATTTGACGGATGTGTCGCATGCAGGACACGGACCAAACGAAGGCGTGCTATGATTGGTCAAAATGCCGGCCAATCCGGATCGAGCATCTTTGACTCGACGTTTCTCGCCCCCTCACAGTGATTCTAGGACGACCTTGTGGAACACTATGGTTACCCTATAAATACAGATGTAATGATTCTCCTTTGGCTCCATAAACGGCTGTGTAGAGTTACCGTGCCTTTTGAGATACCATAGTGGACGGGGCAGGAAGCCGAGGGACCGATACAGAGTTGCACTACCGTTCGGCAAGTCACAACAGCATTCTAATCATGTGACCACCCGAAATTTTCGGTAAGATGTGTGCCACCAGAGTCGGCCAGTCACTGCAACTGCAGGTTCTGCTCGCAGGCTGAGGTATCAATAACTGAAAATTTTGGCTGAAGACCTTTATCTCGCTGATTTTCAGGATTACCCGATTGAGCGCTGCACATGTGAATCCGCGTAAGTAAGCGGACAAGAGTCGTTGTAGAAAATTACGGAATACGAATCATGGTTCTCGAACAGTCTGAATAATTTTGGGTTCAGATTAAAATGCGGGTAACCAAAGGTAGCCCCTGAAAATATATCTTTTCACGCTTGTCATGTTGCTTTACTCTATTTCCACTCTTTCATGGAAATCATGTCTAGTTTTCGGTGAGTCCTTTCAGCGTGTGCAGTTTGCGAGTTGGGCCTGAACTGCATCCACGGTAAACTCTTACTCCTCAGTAACGTGCCCATGCAATAGGCAAACAAATGATAATTGGAAAGAAATGGTATTTACTCAAGTGAACGCATTTCTGAAGCGAGCTCAACCTTACTAGATAAATTTTATTTATATTGGTGTCCGGAGGGCAGCCATGCCTAATAACCGAACTTTACATCGTTGAGATGGACGTGCCACGTGCAGGCTATGGACCGATCGAAGGCATGCCTGATTGGTCCGGCCAGCCAATCTGGTTCGATCATTCTCAGATCGACGCTTCTCGTCCCAACACGGAGATCCTACCATGACCTTGTGGAACGCTGCGGTAACCACGCCTCTTGATATACCATAGTGGGCGGAGCAGGAAGCCAAGGGACCGATACAGAGTTGCACGACAGTTCAACAAGTCACAACAATGAGACACAGTTACCAAGAGTTAATCTTCCTTTCGGGGAGAGGCCTATCAAGTTGAGACAGGGAATCATTAGCAGCACAATGCTCTCAGATGCAATTTATTTGCGGGCAAAAAATTTTTTACGTCGAAATGTTGCATTATGTTGCATATGTGGTCAAGCCAAAAACCATCTTATTCTACGTCCACATTTTTCAAGTTTTGTTGTCCACTGACGCAATCATACCTATGGTGGGAAAGACTGTTGGAATAATTTCTCAGCGTCGCTGAGAACCCGCGATGAATAGACATGGCTTGAACTTGCACTCAGAACTCAATTACTCGATTGCTGTGGTCCATCAGAGACGCCCCAGAGCTTTCGGAAATTCAATTCCATTGTACGGATACTGAGCGCCGCTGAGGCACCGTGGATTAATAGCACCATCAAATTACTTTCGCCGAAACTATAGGATTCTCGAAGTTTTGACTTTAACGGGGAGTTTGTCTAATCTATTCGCACCTTCCGGTCACATGCTGCATGTAGCATTTTGTTTAAGTGCGCGAAATTTCAAGGTCACGGACCATCACCGATTTCCATTTTCTCACCGGTTTACGCGACATAAAACACGAAATCGCACTCTAGCAGATTTTTGCGTTCTTCGAGGTTCTTCAAGAATAAAAAGCATCTAAAGGATATCTTATGCAAGTTTCACCCTGGAAGTCTGGATGTTGACGTTTGTTTTCTTTGCACCTCTCAGATTTAACAAATGGGATTGTAATGGAAAAATATATTCTTTTTGGCGAACCTGGTCACAACATATTTTCCGTGGATCTCAACTTCCATTGAGTGTAACATTTTTAGACAGCACCATTATATGTGCAGTGGCGACGCGAGGGCCATCTCTGCTGACGGTCCCATTTCTCAGATATGCCTGTAGATAAGACGGCGTCACGAGATAGCTACAGGCATCACTCCTATTATGAATATGACGCTCTATAGGTGATGACCGCCATAAAGCTGTCACCATGATAACGACAGCAGCCTTCCCCCTGCTTCGAAGGAAGCGATTGTCACGCCAATATA